GTATTTTCATGTAAAAATAAAATTGGATTCGAAAAAATTGTTTTACTATTTTTTTTTTCAAAACGGTACTTAGTTTCCGAATACGCCTCGTATCATATCGTATATATATAAGCTGCTTAAAGTTGCTTAGCAGTTTGACCAAATTCTCCTCAACATCAGTCTGTTTGACTAAAATGGAATTTCTCTTTCTAGGCTAGCTTAAAATCAGTGTGCATAAATGCATATTTAAATTCAGATCTTCTTGCTACTTAAGAACAACTTAAATGACCTCATTTGAGGCAAAATTTTAAATAAATAGCAAATGTTGCAGTTTTCAACATAAAGTAGAAACTGAATATGCAAAGAGAAATAAATTCTTTTGGTTCTTTGGAATCCCTCCATTTGCTTGTTCACAAAGTCTTACCATCTATAGAGGTCTGCTTGCCACACTCGAATTCTTCTCCAGTCTGAATTACACTCTGTGGTTGAATTTCCATCTTATGGGCTCTTTCTAGGTTCTTCTAACTTTTCCCCATTCCTGAAGACTCTACTGGCCGTTTCGTAGCTTGAGGATATTGTATCGGACTTGAAGTTTCTACTGTACCTTTCAGCTGAAACTTTCAAGACTCTTTCTGCCATGTTAGAATATTTCGTTCACAGGAACCCCTGAATCCGTTCACTTTCAGCTGCTTCCTTGCTGTCTTGTTTCTTCTAGCGCCAGGCCCTAATCATACACTTTTTGGATTTTGGTCCGTACTTGTGATTTCCCGTCTCTTTTTTTTTCGGGGATGTATTTTCCGACTTCAATGACACTCTGCCATTGTTCCTCCCTGTCTCTGACTTTTCTTGTTGTGCTTTCTGTAAAACATCTTTAAACATTTGCATACCAATTCTATGAAAATAGAGCTTAACTTGATAAATGTTTACCACTATTTCTTCCCCAATTTTATTTTTTAAATAAATCACAGTCTTACAAATCTTTTTGAATATGGTTCTTCAAATCGTAGACAAAACTTCCTCACTTTTTCGGCTGCACATGATAATGAATGTTTTAACTTAAGTACTTTATCTCCCACCTTGCACTTAAGCTCTCGCCTTTTCCTGTTGTAGCATATGTTCTGCTTTCCCTTTGCAATGTCCGAAAATCTATTAACATTTGTATATCAGACATTTTAAATTCTGGTGTTCTTTGAAAAAAAAAATTATTCAATGGGGTTCTTCTTCTTACTTCTATTATGTCAGGTCAGGGCTGTGAATTTGCAGTTTCACCATTAATGCCAAACAAGGGGATGCCTTTCTATTTGCCATCGAATGTTTGATATCATATTAGCAAATTTTTAAATAAAATGCTAGATGCAACGCAATCTATCATTTTACACATTTTTTTCTTCTGTTCTCTTTGCTCAACGATATTTACATTTCATAGCTTAATTTTTATAACTTATCTTCTCGAAAAGGTGGATCTGTATTCTACGACGAATGCATACATTTTCTGCTATATATCCAATGTTCTCAGCTTAGGTTTACCGATTCAAGAACAACTAATTTATTTTAGCAGTAGGTCAAGCACTAGATTTGTAGTCTACATAGTGCTCCTTCCAGGTGTAAAAGTCATATTATCGTAAAGTCGTATTGTTTTGGGTTTAGACATCCCACTGAAGCTAGGAAAAAGAAAAAGTTTAGGGAGAAGATTAGTTTGTCAAAAGCTTTACTCTCAACTAGAGGGCAGACATATGGGGCAAAGGCAAGATGGATCTTCCTGATATCGGTCATCTCTGTTAAATAGAACTAAGATTGCTGTCTTCATAAATAGGACTAAGGTTGCTTGTTGGGGAAGATATCTGTGTTTAGACATTTTTTGATTAAATCCACAAAGAAGTCTTTGTTGGCCTTCCAAATTTCAGTGATTATTTCTAAGGACAGTCCATCCTTACATGGAACTGTACCTTAATCATGCAATGTAAAATATTCGCAGTTTCATAAGTTATAAATGAATAATTATTTGGGGAAAAAGGAGAAGCTCTACAGTTGTTCCTAATCTGAAAACTGATAATCCAAGAGCTATGGTATTGTACATTGATGTTATGAGTGAACCATCGGTTTTCCATATTGTTGAAATCTGAAGAGCTGTTTTTGCTTTGTTTGCGGCGAAAGTATTAGCAAGCCCAAAGAAATTTGCCATATTTAAATTTTCATTAAGGTCATCACAAGAACATATTTTTTACTAAATCTGTGTCTTCTTTATCTGTATTCTGCTATATGTTTTTGATATTTCACTTTTGGCAGCAATCTTTTCTCTGGTTATGAACACAACTGATGGGCAGACTGCACATTATTCCTGGTTTTTTATTTTGATGTTAAATTTTAGAACAGAGCCTCTTGCGATTTGATTTTTATCATTTTTCATGCATCTGTTCTTTTCTGTGATAATATCTCGGAGAAGTACGTGTTAGTACGGAATTGACTCAGTTTTCTCTTCAGAAGCTTGTTTTAAAAGAATATGTAAATCTGCATGAAACTGTAACCATACAGGTCTGAGATAAGAAATGCTTAAAGAAATTTCCAGGATTGCTTTTGTTAGGTAGAAGTTCTTCTAATAATAGCCATGGGATGACATGTCCAATGAAACAGAGCATTAGATTGGTAAAGATATTTGAAATAGTCAGGTCTATCACAATATCTCGAAGCTGTGTGATAAGTTGACTTCTCCACTTCTGCGCGTGAGAGATGCTGTGACGGCAATGTGGTGAACGGATCCTAAAAAGTATTACGTAGTAGTTAAGAGACTTTCAAACCTATTTGGTGTGAGGATTACCACTATTGTGATGCCACCCTATGCTATGGAGCTAAATTTTTATCTTACTTCTTTTCATCTTTCTATGTTTTTTTTTTTTTTTTTTTTTTTTCATTAAAATACTAAATCTTAACATTGGTGTCATTCTTAAAGTAAAGTAGAAAGACACCCAACAACACACTAGAAAAGGTTCCAAAGATTTATGTGAAAATTCTTCATTTTCACATAAAATTAAAGATTTCTGTTACACCTTTTGAAAACTTATTCTGAGTATATAATGATATTTTCAAAATTAACTTTAATTGGAATTTAATAAATTATACATGATTTTAAAATTAATTTTATATGCAATTCTTTTTTATTGTTTTAAGATAACAGAATTATTTGAAAAGTTATGAAATGAAAAGTGGCTCATAAAAAGCACAGTTAACCAATAAAATTCAGAACTGCTTTTCAATGCTTTATAACTGTCTGAAATCTGATTTCTGCCTGTAAAGGAATTATTATTGCTTGGTTCACTTGCTTGGTGGAAGTTTTTGATGTAGAAAACTTTGTGCTGTAATTTTGAATTTCTTTTATATGAATTCAAGGAATGTCATTTGGAAATAAAGTAATTACAGGATAATAATGGATCATGCCATTTAGCACAAACAGTAGACAAATGGTTTTCTTTTAAATCAAGGAAAAAGTTTCAGTGGTATGCCCAGTTGCTGGATCTTAATCAAATTGAATAAATTTGGATGATATTGAAACTGAAAATCTGTTTAGAGTCCAAGAAATAAAGTAATAATTAAATATAGATTGAAGCTATAATTTCATGCTGGTATCATCTAATTCCAGTAAATGACCTTGATAAATTTGTGAGCAGTGTGACCAAGTGACATTGTTAATTAAAAACAAAGCTTTTCTTATTAAATAATTTTAATTTATTTTTGAGGATTTGAAAAAATGCTTAAAATTGATTATTGTAAAATGTTTGCTACTTGGTAATTTTATTGTATTATTTTTTCTTTGAATTTAGGAATTATTGTATTTTGCAAGAATTTTATATGTATGTGTATGTATGTATGTGTACATAAAACGGGGGAGAAATGTTTATATTAGTACCTTTAAAGTTTTTTTTCCCACATTTTCTTATGCATTATATTTGCAATAATATTGTTATTCTGCCTTTTAAAAATCTGAATTCGTTGTAATATTATCTTTAAATTGATAGATTATTTATTAAAGGTAGCATTTAAATTAAGTTTTAACATGCTGTTAGTATCTACCTAACCATGTTTTAAAAATAAATTTAATCTACCTGTAAATAAAAAAAGTAATTAGAAATTTAAGCTTCATAGAGACTGCAGTGCAGGTGAGTCTTTTTTTTTTTTTTTTCTTTGTCAGACATGTGTTAATTTAGCAATTTTTCAATAAGATAGTAATGTCACAAAATGTGTTGAAGAGAGTAAATTCTCATTATGAAACATGATAGTACAATATAAATATTTCTTTGTTAGCTCGCTAATGGTACCACTGCAGGCAGTTTTACAGTACTGAGGTTAAGGTGATGTTATTGGTGTAGGGGATCTTAATCCTTTATCCAAGAGATAATTTTGAACTATTCTGGAGTGACTGCAGCTCTAAATAACACTGCAGTGGCTGTTCTGTCATCTAAAGTAGTTGCTTGTTTACAATAATCTGTGTGTTTATTCCCTCATCTGTTGTGCCCAGAACCATTTTATCTTAATTTATGAATTCAATCCATTGTGGACAGCATTCGTAATTTGTTCAAGCATACAACCTTATCTGTTAAGTTGGATATGAGAATCATGTGTCTTCTTCATGTAGCACTATGCAGTCCTTCTTAGATCCAATCAATTGGCTAAAAAATGCTCACCTACATGTGATGTTCATGAATTTTAGTATGAAAATCATCTGAAAGCAAACATTAAATAATTTTTATACATGCTTGAATATTATAAATGAACTAGGGTACCACATCACCTCTTGATTAGCAAATTTGTTGATGGTTTTTTTTAAAACTGTTTATGATATTTACTATTCCATGTGATTGCTATAGTAAGTTTTTATGTAGAACATTAATTTGCTATTTAACCTGATAACCATTGTAAATTTTTTAAGCATAAAATTTTAATACAGTCTTTCTTAGTGTTCATTTTTGCAGTTTCCATCCTAGTGCATATTTTGTTAATATTATTTATTTTGATTTTTTTTTTTTCAGGTTGGACAGGGGAAAACATATGCTTTGCTGGAGATAGTGCTGGGGGTAATATATTGATGGGAATAGTACTAAAATGTATTTCCTTGAAAATTCGTCAACCTGATGCTGTGCTGTGTGCATATACACCTCTGATCCTTGATATGATGCCTTCCCCATCACGTTTGTTATGCTGGATCGATCCTTTACTACCTCTAGGTTTTATGATTAGCTGTTTAGATGGTATGTTATCCAGTGTTGTTATTCTTTAATTATTCTTTAGGATAACTTTTGCATGATCTTTATTTACTAAAATGATGTTAAATATTCACTGTGTGTTTAAAGTGTAGAATACATTTTGTTTGTTGTTAAATATTTTAAAGCAAATTAATGAAAACTAGATGTTTTCTGTACACCTTTCCTTTTAAATGATACATGTGGTTACGTGTATGGGTAAATTCAAAAGTATGGGTGTTGTATAGTGATGTATTTATTCCTGTATAAAATTATGACATTGTAGTGAACGCATTCTAGTTAAGGAGGTGAGGCACTACAGTCACTCTTCCACACTCTCCTTCCCCACTGCTACGTCAGTGCACAAGCTCCCGGTGCACCTGTATGCGCTCTTCTGCTAATAATACTTGTGTTCTAAATAAAATACTGTTTAATAAAATGCAAGCGATCATCTAATAGCTGCATCTACAATCATAACATGCTCATAGCCACATCCAGGATCACAACATACTTCAACAATATTGACATAAATTTAAAAAAAAAGAATTATCGAAGTTTCTTACCTCCTCTTAGGAAGTGTTCAATGCCATTGGTGACATGGCAGACATCTCTAACATGGTTAATTTGATTTCTGAGAAAATGTTGAGCCATGTTTATGCAGAGCTTGAGTACCATCTTAATTTCTGCCATGACACCAATGGTGTCCCCATCAAGTACTTATTAAAATATGATAAGACACTTGAATAATTGTATCTTTTTCATTTATGTTAATATGCATCATTTCATATAGCAATTGATAAGATTTTATTTTGCATCGTTGCTTTTGACTAACACTGTATTACATAAAACATTTCTTGGAATGTTCTGTAAAAGTGTTTTTATTGCATCTCATTTTGTTATGAATACTTAGTCAAGTATTTGTGTACTTCCTGTTCTAGTATTGTATTATATTTGCATCGTAAAGCGTACTTACCTGCCTTATTGAAATGATTTATTAGGCCCTGTACTGAATTATTGCTCTGCTACAGTGTAAAAATGCATTCATTGAAAGCTATAAAATTTTACTGTATTCATTAATGTACTGCCTTAATAATTCATAATTTCATTATTATGAATTATTTTAAATAACTTAAAAAAATCTTGTAATGAATATTACTTTACATTTCACTTTTCAAAAATTTCAACTCTTTCTGTTCAATGAAAATTTACTGTTGCTTCATATTTTTTGCTTGAAAATACTAATGTTTCTTGAAGCTTTTGGCAGTGAAGAATCTTTATGGTAATCGGATTATTTTTCTGCAGAAGAGGTTGTATTTACTGAATGTGTAAATTAGGTGCATATTTTGTCATACGAATGCATTCTTCTTAAACCAAGTTATGATAATTTTATATATCTCTATAGAATTAAAAATGCTCTTGAATAAACTTAAAAAATAAATGAACAATTTTAAAAATGCACAGACCAGTGCATAATTTGTTAAATTGGTTATAAGAAATATTTATATAGCTAGCCAATACAGCAAAAAACTTATGTCATCCTATTATCTTTGAGGCATTAATATTACATTATTATCTTATTAGATGCTTAGAAAAATGTTATAAAAACTACCCCATTTAGTAAATTTTCAAAAACTTTTATTGGATTTAAACTAAATCTTTGAAACAATTGCATCACATAGATGATAAACAAGATGGAAAGCATAATGTTATAGGCTGACAAAATCTGAAAATAGCCTTGGACTGCACAAACTTCAAAATGAACTGAGAAAGGATTTGGTGGCTAATAATTAAAGTCAGGTGCTGCCATTTACAAAAGTAAAAACTTTAATTATGTATTAAAATTTTTCAAAATATTTTTTTCTATGGCCATCAATATATGCAATCTATTAAGATTGAAATTTAACAAGATATACAGTAATTAAGAGTTTGCTAGCAACCCTGAATGGCTAAATGAACTCATCCTCTAAAAACTGGTTTTTTGCAGAAATAATTTTCCAAGTTACCATCATGAGTTTGTATAACTTTGAGTCACAAATTTGAAGAAGGGAATGGATTCAAAGTTATTACATTTAGGGGGAAAATACAGCTTTCTTTCTCCAGTCTGATGAAGCTTGTTTTGGTTGTTCAAAAGTAAATGTTTTTGTTTCAAGTGAAATATCAAGGTCAGCAAATATTTTAAAAAGTAAAAACCCATTTTCTGATTTTTGGCTTTTATTTTTTTCTTTAATGTGCCATTATAATTACGCATTCTCAACTGCATTACACAATTGCTATAATGTCTTGAGTCTTTTTTCACTAAAGAAGCCAAAAAAATTCTAAAAGTTTGTTCATTTGGAATTTGAAATATTGTACGTAGCAACCCAAATGTCTGAAAATATAATTTATAACTTTACAAATATTTTCAGTGGCGTCTGTTTCATTTGAAAGAACACAGGTGTGTCAAAATGTCATCTAACTGTCTGATCACAAGTACAAAACTCTTAAAAAAGGAGAATTTGAAACAAATCCTAAATGAAATCATAAATTGATGGAGGAAAACACATTATTCATGGATCCCTCCATCACAGGGTTAAAATATCTTTTTTATTGTAATTACTGTAATTAGTTTAGTATTATAGTTTATTTTTTGCAGTTAGTTATAAATTTTTAATTTTTATGACTGGATTTTTAGCATATGCTGGAGCAATGCAGACTGACGGAGATGAATATGAGGAAGAACCAAATCATGGAGCTTCAGGAACTAGGTCAAGAAAAATATCCTCTATAAGTGAAATATTTGATTCAAGTGTAATGTTTCTAAAGCAGTATGAATGGACAGAAGTTGAAGCAAATGAGCCATCAGATGTTGATTTAGATGTTTCAGCATTTGGCTATGAAAAAGAGACTTTAAATAAGCCTGACAAAAATGATTATATCCATGATTTCCTCAAAGAATGCTGTTCTAGTATTGTAAATATTTCTTCTGAAGATGATGAGGACCATATGGAACATGATGTGTTCAACTTACCAAATGACATAATGTTTGATATTAAAGAAAAGTTTTGTGCTGTTGCACATTCTGCTATTAACAAATTATCCCAGGCTTTTATTTCAACATCACTTTATCAAAAAGTGATTTCTCCATTTATACCACTTAAAATATTTCCACATCAAGTGTTGCATAGCCCATTCAGAAGTTCTTCAAAGTCATCTATTCTTCAGAAAATAAGAAAATTGAAAATTGTGTCAAGAAATCCATTCATGTCTCCTCTTTTGGCATCAGAAGAATTTTTGAAGCAAATGCCACCAATTTACTTTGTGGTAAGTATTTTATATTATTTTTGTTGTTGGAAAGAAAGCAATGTGCAAAACTGTGTCATCTTAAATTTAATTTTGCAGTGTTTTATCGCAACTAGAATTAAACATTTCTTTACTATTCATTTGCCTCATATTCTCATATAAATAAAATCTGTGTTGTCTTGGTTTTACAGAACATGTTTGTTTATTTTTTACATGCATATTATTTACAGGATGAAAACCCTGTACTTAATTTTTATCAATGGATGGTTTCCTCTGAAACATTTGTTGCTTGACAGTATAAAAATTGTCCAAATATGCACTGATAAAGGAACTGAAAAATAACATGTTGTGTGAATATATGTTATGAGGAAAGTTATATACAAGATATTAAAAAAGCACATACAGACTTATTCCCTTAAATGTTGATTATAGACATGTGCCTTCAATCACAAAATTTCTCTAAATAAGGTACATAATTTATGCAGACGATTTCAATAGTATATATGGGTACTCTTTGTAAAGATAAAAAAATTTAACATTTTATATCATCTCTGTAAAGCAAAAATTCCATCTAATAAAATGTCCAGTTTGCTTTGTTAAATTGAGATGAGCTCATGCCTTTACAAGAAAATTTGGCAGAGACATGTACAATTAATATTTTATGGGACTGTCTGCAAATTAATAAGAAATAGCTCTTGTTTTATGCTTTCTCCTTGAATCTGTTTAAAGAATCTCTAATTTCAATTAATTGTCAAGTGATCTATGTCCGTAAATTCATGGAATCCATTTCCTCCTTCTATCAGTTACAAAATTGCACAGATTTTTCAAACGTTTAATTTTTAAATCATTTTCTCACCTAAGTCCATTGTCCGATTCTTAAATATTCCATTTCTCATTTTAATTCTGGGGAATTTAACCCTTTCCAGCACGCTACCTTTTAAAGTTGGAGTTTTGATTAGAAAAAGGTAGGCAGTCTTAATTAGGCCTAGAGGAGTATGCAAGTAAAATTTTGTGAAGATAGCACTTATCGTTTTAATTATGTGGATGTGGCGAAAGTGGGCACACTGATTGAATAGAGCTTTGAAAAGAGTGCTGAAATGAGCATTGTTGTTAATGAATGGACCGATGATATGCAGAGAAACATAGAATACAGACTCTCAGTTGTCCTAGATTATCGGTGAGCCTGGTCTTAGGGACAAGATTTCAAGGTAAAAATTTAAAACTAATATAGAATAAGGAGATTAGCATACATCCAAAAAAATAACATAGAAATTTCTTTTCAAACAATTCCTTTTATGCCATAAAAAAAGTCTTGAAGATTTCTTTGAAAAATGAGGGTTTTAAAAAACTAAACATGCTAAAATATGTGGACTGGTTTGTGTTGAGATGCCATCTACTATAAATAAAAAAGGTTCAGAGTAACCTATAGTAACCTATAAACCCTTTTTCATTCAAGTTTTCTGTGCGTTCAGAAGGAAATTTTTAGGTGTGTCTCAAAGGGTTAAAGCATATCTTGCCAGTGTAGTTTGAGATATATTGGCCAAACTAAGAGAGCGTTAGTTTTTTACATCAAGGAACACAATTCTTGCATCCAAAAAGAAGAAATAAGCAAATCTTTCATAGGTAATAATTGTTGGAAATTAAATCACAGTTTTAACTTTGGGTCTGCAAAAATTATCCAAAAAGCTTCTTCAGTTGGTGAATTAGATTTCCTTGAAGCTTTTTACTTTCACAAAGTTTTTTCTTGTGTAGTTAATGACTTCAATTCTAATCAAGTTCTTCCTGACGCTATTAAAATGCTATTAACTTCATTTTTATGTGTCATTATTATTTCTGTGGACAGATGGATGAGTCCTTAACTGAGACCAAGATTTATTCTTGCACATAAAGTGCACCATGTGCAGAATTAAGAGAATTTGCACATTATGCCGAATTTCTGAAAAACTAAATGGACAGATTTTAATGAGATTTGAGAGAACAGAAAAAATAATAGAGAAAGGAATGTACCTTTTCAAAAGTCATTTTATGTACGCATGATTATCAGTAAAGCTCTAAGTAAAGGGATATACATGTTGTGGTCTCAAACTGAAAGTGAGTATAATTATAGGGTATGGGCCCCTCTCACAGCCAAAAATGTTGTGCAGCATGATGGTATACTGGACAGGAGGAAGCTGAAGATTTCCTGTTCCAGTCGATCCTACTCCTGCTGCAAGGCAGTTTACAACTCAGGGATAGTTCTTGGAGAGGATTGGCGAGATGACGTTGCTTTCCTAAGAGCATCACAGACATGCTGTATAGGATTAAGATAAAGAGATCTGGCTCGCCGATCCATGCGGTAAATATCCTCACTTTCCAGGTAATCATCCACCTGCTGATCCCAGTGTAAATGAGCATTGTCCTCCATTAGCAGAAACCCAGAACCAACTGCACTCTTCAGAGGTTGAACATAAGGCTCTAAGACCACCTCTCTTTCCCTCATAGCAGTCAGGAAGGCTTTGTCAAAGACATGCAGAGGTGTGTGGCTGTCCCAACATAATGCCTCCCCAAACCATTACACCTTCATCACCGTAATGATCCTTTGCCCTGATGAGAAGGGATGGTGTCGTATTCCGGGCTGTCTTCAGATACAGGTATACCAAGAATCAGTGTCCAGTCTGAATCTCGACTTGTCTGTAAAAAGCACAAGGCTTTGCCAATATCTGATTCAAGTTACGTTGTCTGCACCCTGCTAAATCAGTCTTTTCTGTGCTGCAGTGAGTGGGACACAAACAGCAGGTCTTCTAGAAAACAGCCCTTATTCATGAAAACTTCCAGGTACTGTAGAACATGAAACTCGGGTTCCAGTGACAGCATTTAACTCACGTGAGAGCTGTGGAGTTGTAGCAGTCCTGTGTTTTAACTCTGAAAGTGCCAAATAATGGTTCTCATTTGTCATCGTGCAACTTGGTTAACATTATCCAGGTCTTCTTGATATAGATCCAGTGTCTTGAAACTTCCCACAAGCTGCAGAAGGCACTGGGGGCTACATTGAGCTTTACACTTGCACTTGGTAGTCAGTAGTAGACAATTGCACTTGTAGTCAGTAGATTGGCATGCCTCCAATCTACTGACTATTCTGCATCTCATTCCATCATCCATACGTTCATGGCTACTCATTTTACCTGATTCTTACAAATGATTCCGAAATTCGGATGAGCAGTATCCGGAATGATCTAATCTTTGGACCACTGAGCGGAAAAAAAATAAATATATAAGTAGCATAAAATAATATTAAAAAAATTCTCCCATTGCAAAGTCTAGGAATAGAAAATATAATACTCAGTAAAGGGAAGCAAGTGTGCCATAAATGAGATTTTTCCCTGGAATGAGACTGCTGCATGTTACTTTCGAATACCTGCTGGCTAAGGAGTGGCACCATAGTCAGCAGCAATACGTTGATTGACATTGTATTGATGTTGGCGGCGATCACACTTTCAGCCCATGAGTGGTTAGTAATTTTCTCTGTGACCTAAATAACAAGTAAAACTACAATGTTGCATTGTTATAACCAAGCCTCAGTTGTTATCATTTAATTATTGTTTGACACTGTAAGAGTGGCAACCTTCTGATCTTTGTTCTTATTTATTGTTGCTGTACGGATTTTGAAAATAAAAGTGACGTTTTTGAATATTATATTTAAAATTATTTTGTTTTAAGTTTATTAGGAGAAAGGAGAACAGTTAGTTCTAGCAAATCTCGAACAGCCATGTCTACATGTAATCTTACTAGATTAAAAATGAAGTTCTAAAATATGGAAATTTCCAAAATCCAGAATTGTTGAAGTCCCAATATTTTCGGATATCGCCGTTTGACTGTATATATTTTAATTGTAATAAGAATTACGCATGCACTTAATCATATGTAGTATAGTGTTATTTATATTACCGCAGAAAAATAATCTTTTTATATTTAATCAGTGTGATTTAGATTCTTTGTGGAAAATTAACAGTTTCTCATAATGATAAGTTACGATTTATTAATAAAAATCATTAATTACCACGTTTAAACTTCGTACGCGATTACTCTGTTTTTTGAAAGCTGACGTGCAGCAAGCATTAAAATCTTTTTTTTCTATGTATGATGTTGAGAATAATACTAATAATGTTTTTATGATTATTTGCAAAGGAATTTCTAAATTTCTTTAGCTCAGGATGTTGGGATTTATATTTATTGTAACTGACAATTTAAAGTTTGAGTTTAGACCTTTCCTGTAAGCATTCATTGCTCTAATTGCTAGTTTCACTTCATTGCTAGTTTTATCACTTTTTAATATTTCAACTTTTAGCTTCAATTATCTGACTTTCAATTACCGCCCAAGCAGAGGCGAAGTTTATTAGTGTCGAGTTGACGCGACGCATTGGAAATTTTTCAAACATGTAGTAAAGGGTACTTTAACCCTTCTCCTGTGTAGTTACCTGCTACTCCAGTATATGGACAGAAGTTCATTCACTGGACTGTACAAGGATCTGTCCACAGTTAATCAGGTTTTTCTAGAAAAGGTTAACCAAAATTATCTTTGGTCAAAATTAGACTTTGGTGGATCACTGAATCACGCTTCGAATGTTCATTGAAGCAATAAATATCAGAAGGTTCTACTTGTCATGCCGTTCTTCATAAGCATCTTGGTAAAAGAAACAATAAGCTAATTCCTACTCTGCATTCTGACCAAATGGTCATAAAGGGCTTATTTATCGATCTGATTGTGTGTATTGCAAATTGCAAACCAGTATCGTGATTTCTGTAAGAGCATTATTACTGAGGATGAAATGAAATACCTTGATGAAATACTTTGAACAAAATACCTTGATGAAATACTTTAATCTAAAAAGCTGCGAAATGCTGAAGAGAGGGGTAAGCAGTTACGATCTCTTGAGAAATGTTGCTGTCACGGATAAAAATGATGTTTATTTGCTTTTTTGATTGGAAAGGTCTTAGAGAGTCCCATGGGTGAAAAATAGTAAATGAAGGTTTCTACAAGCAAATGTTAGGACTATTAAAATGGCAATAACAACCTTGTATTTAGCATACATATGTTAAAACACTCAATCGATTTCGAGGGCAACTAACGGTCCCTCCTCATCAGGAGAACGAAATTACTAGAAAAGGGAAAAAGAAGAAAAATAAAGCATTGGCAAAGG